TCAATATAAAATTGTTTATTGCCCAGGACTTAACAATAAGGATTGCCCCGATGGCCAGTGGTGTAAAGTAACAAATTATGAATACTCAAACTACTGTAATTGAGTAGTTTTTCTCAGAAGTTGTGATTTACTAAGTAGTTTTTAAAATGTGTACTTTTACTTTTTCTCTTGAGTACGTCTTTAGTGCTGTTTTGGATTTGTTCCCTTTTCTTCCCATCAACTAGGCATACAACAATGCAGCCTACACAGCATATACACCCTTCTTATATATGTATATACATATAAACATACACACATATACACATTCAAATAACATAGGTACAAAAATATAAAAATTCAAATATGGTTCCCAAAGATAGTCAAAGTTCTTCTGCTTGCCTTTGATGATATAAGTTAGTCTTTCCAGTCCAATACAGTTCAATATTTATTTATTTTTGCACATTTATATGGATGGAGCATCCATGTGTTTCCAGTATAATGCAATAACCCATCTAGCTTAAAGAAAACCAAAATCCAAAATGTTTGTATTTCCAAGTTCCATAGGATTTAAACCAAGAATACAGAGCTCGGCATGCATTTAAAGGGATCTTAATATTAAGCATGTCTGACATACATTCAGTTATCTCTTTCCAACACTTTTGTATTTTAGGACATTGCCAGAGGCAGTGATGTAGTGTACCTTTATCAACATTTAGAGCACACCTGGAAGGTTAGCAGAAAAGTTTCACAGGGTTTATATACATTCCCATTAACCATTTATATTGAAGTAGTTTAAACCTGGTATTTATTGTTTGTGTTTGAGCTTTCAAGCAAGCATAATTCCAATCTATATCATCTTGCATATTTTCTTTCCAGGCATTTAATTTATTCAATGCTGATTTATTATGTGTGACCAAAAACTGTAATGTATAGAAACATGACCTCTTTCTTCTAAATTTTGGATAGTTATTTCCTCTTATTTTGATAAAGATTGTATACAACTAATCTGTGTTTCTTTTGATGACATGTAACTCTTCAACTGAAGGTATAGTGCTGTATTACTTTTACTCCATTACTTACCTTCAACCTGCAGTCACTACTTTATCAGTTCTTGTCTATGGGGATTAGAAAAATCAGTCCTGTGATTCCTGTCCAAGACATGGGCGATTTATAATTGCAGCAAACTGTTTGGAAGCATGTCCAAGAAGATGCCCAAAGTTTTCTCTTGCAATGACTTAAAAACTGTTTAGATGCATGTCACTGATGAGAAGATGACGGATGTTTAGTGTGTGATGACCGAAATGGCCTTAAACACCCAGCAGGCACAAGACATTAACATGACATTAGATTGACGTTATACCCCAACATTGTGGGGACTTTGCATTTTGTTTGGAAATGAAAATCAAGTTGACGCAGAACCCAACGTCAGCCTGACGTCAATGTCCAACGGCCAACCTAAAATCAACCAAATATCAATGTCTAATGATGTTACAGCTTGACGTAGTTTGGATGTTACCACTATGACGTCTATCAGATGTTGGATTTTGGTTGTCATTCCTGATGAATAAATGTCAGTATTTGTCGTCAATATGATGTTGGCTTAAGATTTTGACTCGACGTTGGATTTTGGTCACTTTCCAACACAACCTAAAATCAACCAAATATCAACGTCATTTGACATCGTTATTGGACGTCAAAAAACGTTCTCCATAGATGCTGGCTAGACATTGAATTTTGGTCACGTTATATGACCTAAATCTATCCTAATAATAACGTCTTATGAAGTTTGTGTGCCGTTTGGGCAATAACTAAATGTACTACAGAATGTTACGTTTACACACATCCACCAATTACATGTAAATGCATCAGCTTTCACATTGTAATACTCACTACTCACTACTTTTGAGTACTTTTGAAAGGGCTACTTTTACTCATACTTTGAGTAATATTTACAACGTTACTTTTACTTGCACTACATTTTTAGGCAAGTAATGGTACTTTTACTGAAGTATGATTTTTCAGATCTCTTTCCACCACTGCCGATGGCCCGGGGCAAGCATGATAGATGCTTGGGACAGTAAACAGGATCATTACTGGCCTGATTGGGACAGTGCTACCTTGTCACTAATGTTTCATTTGTTTGCAACTATTTATCAATTGTGTGCATTTTAAGTTTGTGCTTTTAAGTCTTTAAATGCTACCTTCTCTGTGATGTCGTAAACACCATACTGCATTTTGGTTCCTCTGATTTGAGGTTTTCAGCATGCTATTTTTTTCACCTTAACCAGGTAAAAACTAGGGATGTCCAAATCCAATCACGTGATTGGAAATCGGGCCCAATACACATGGTTTCAGACTCAATTGAAATCGGACGTTACTTCCCGATAAGGACTCGAATATATATGTATCGATATATATATATATATATATATATAATCTCATTATTTTTGAACACATCTATATTTATGTGGTGGAACAGAGTTAGACCTCTTTCTTGACTTTCTTGACACAGAAACAGCAACACATGTGGTATGACATCCCTTTGACGCTATTGATTAAATGCCAGCCAAGTAGAACTCGGAAGGAGCTTGAAGCAGAATGCGCGAGTATATCTGTGGTCTGGAGGAATTATAAAGTGGATGACGACAACATTGCCATAGCGAACTGTGAGATATGTAAACTTGGGATTGCCTGATAGGTGTTTTAAGTTGAGGTGCTATTTGTTATTATATTTTTTCAATTTATTTACTGTTGCACTAATGTCCACGAGTGAAGAAATGATGTTATTTATTATTTGATTGTTCAAGCCTCACAGAAGGCTAACAGAGTTAACAGAGTCGTTGAATGTTAAAATAAGGTGAATTAAATAAAACATAAGGAACATCCTGGATTTGTTTCTTCACTCTTCTTTATTCTTTTTTTTATGTATTAGAAGTATCGAATCAGAATTCGGTATTGGTAGATACTCAGTATCAAATGACTCAGACTTGAGTGCAAAAAAACTGATTGAGCATTCGTAGTAAAAACCAGTACAGTGAAGTGACGGCAACATCAAATTATAGCAGACATTTACGTGGGAACAACACAACGAAAGAGGTGATGTTTTGCACAATTTGCCATCAGTAGGACAAGTCTGTCACCTTTTGTTAAATAATTTCGAACTTCAATACCTGCACATTTTCCATACTGCTCTTTTTGTTTGCAAAACAGATTGAATTGTGCTGATAATACATTTATTAACATATTAAATATAAAAATTCTAGACTGACAGACATTATTTTTGACACATTATTTAAAATATGTGGCTAAAAATAGCTATTAACTTCTCTTATTTATTTAATTATTTATTTATTTTAGCTGGGGCCAGTGAAAATTTTGCCAGGGCAAGTAAAAATCTGAATCTTTAGTGTTGACCCTGTTGGTTCAGCCCTAGAAGTCAGTGATTACAGGATTCCAGCATTCTTGAAAATATCTTCTTTTGTGTTCAGCTGAAGAAAGAAACTCATGAAGGTTTGAAGGGTGGATAATTGATGACGGAATTTTCATTTTTGTGTAAACTATCTCTTTTAGTGGTGAATAGTAAGCAGCATGGCAAAGACCACAGAACATATGTTTTTTATTTTATTTTATTAATACTAACAACACATACAGAATTATACAGTAATAAATGAAAATATATGCTAGAGTGTACAAAAAAACTTCAGCAATTAAAAATCGCATGTTCCTTAAGTATATTACAAGTCTTCTTTACTTTTTTATTAACTATATTCTCCAAACTTGTGCAGTAGTCTCTTGAAGGAAATGAACAAAACTTGGCCAGTCAATTTTTTATGTGTATAAAACTTTACCATAATCGTAAAAAAGTTGTACTAGAAAGGTACATTTTTTACATCTATTGACATAATAAATGCAAATATCAAAATTTTGTAACTTGAATACAATATTGGTTTTCCTTCTAAGAACAATTTCCACATCCACCCAGGAAAATCCTTGTGTATATACAATCATAAAACATATGGACAATAGATTCCTTTTCAATGCAACACAAATCACGGGAATAATCAATATCCAAATTAAACCTCTTAAGCTGAATATATGCAATATTAAATTTTGAATGTAACTTATTTAACTTTATTATTAATACAATATATTTCATTAGAACGCCAAGATTTTTGTCCAATTTATTTATGAATACATTGCTCCATATTTATTATATATATATATATATATATCTGTATCACCTGTTATAATATTTCAAATATATTAGGCCTAATATAACTTTGCTTGATAATATTAATATCCCAAAAAAAGGGTTTTCTTTAACATATTTTTCTTCTAAGGATTTTCCATACCCTCTTACAAAATGAAGAAGCTTAACTGACCACAGAACACATGAGAGATTTGTTTTGCACTGTTGTACGTGTACTGTAGTTGTATATTTAGCCATCGGGTGTCGCTCAAACAAAAGGCCACTCAAACTAAACCAAACCAAACCAAAGCTCACGTTGAAGTATTTTTGGCGCATCCGATTCGAAACTGACAATACTTTCATTTCATGCAGGAATGTGAATATGGTATGTGAAACTTTTTCTTTTTTTTAACTCGACAAACACAACTATTCACAATTGTTCAGTACTCAGAGTGTGCATAAGTGGAATTAGAAATATATTTTTAAAAACTTCTCCCCCCAAACCCAAATCTAGTTTTACTGAAGAGACAGAAATGAGGGAAGAGACACTCCCAATATGAGTATCACAGTATCCGCTTGACGGTGTGATTTTTAAAACAAGTCAGCATTAAGTTTAACGCTTCCTAATACAAACTTTAACTAATTGAACTCAAAATCAGGACTTTTATCGATTTTAGATTGATATTAGATAGTGAAAGTCTTCCGCGGAATGCCCTTGCTTATCTGTGCACGTGAGCGCGCAGCAGGACACAGCGGCAGAGCCGTGAGCGCGCCTTCCGCGTCTGCTTCGTTTCGCTGACAGCCAGCGGTGCGAACTGGACTCATCAACGGCTACAGATCCACACCTCAACAACACAACACTGCTTCTGCCGACCGAGTCCTCGTTTCATCCCTTCGGCCTGCTGTTATTATTCCTCCAAAATGAACCCGCTGTGTAGCAGATGTAACCGAGTGGTGTATCCCACGGAAAAAGTGAATTGTCTTGACAAGGTAAGGCTAAGCGAAACTTAGCATACGCTAGCATAGCTCGCACCTCTGTTTGTGTGTCATTTATATGTGACTCATGCTTTGTGTAATAATGAAATAACGATGTTTTAAGAGAAAATGAAGGCTGTTTCAGACGGTGTGGTTTGAGATTGTGATCATAGCGGAAGCGTCTGGGCGAAGTGGCTAAAATTGATCGATTGTGATAACTTCACAGCACGCTACAAGTTGTCGATCATATATTGATTTTTTCTCAGTGTTAACACTGTCACTCATCGATACGAGAACCATAGGAAGTCGCTATTATTGTTATTTGTTTCAAACAAACGGCGTTTGCTTGTTCGTGGCCTCGTTCGCGAGGAGGAGGAGGTGGTTTATGACGTGTCAGTCTGTCCTGTGGGCGACATGGACGGACCCGAAAACCCCCAAAACAGCCCAGGTCATATGTTAAACGCTCACATCTTTTTAAGGTGACTTTCAACTACAGATGAACACATTTGGTTTATAAACGCGGTTCAAACATGGTTTTTTAATGGTGTTATGCAGATGTGCAAGTTTGCCCGTGCATAACGTTGAGGCCTGTGCTATTCACAGGATAAATCTAACATTTTATCCTCAAAATATCATCCGCGAATGTAAATCGGGCCTTGCATTTTCATCATGTTTACCAGCCGGACTGGAGGAAGTGTTACTGCTCGACATGCTTGTGAAAGCTTTTATATGCAGACCCCACCCCCTCTTAACCCATATCCTCCTTATCGCTGTGTTTTTTTCTTCTGTTCTGTGATGAAATCTTGAGTTGTTGAATTGCTTTAGATGCTCCGGAGGGGTGGGGTCGCCTTCTTTTATTCTCATGCAGCGCATGTAGCGTTATTTGCGAGGGAGAGAATCTGGGGCGGAGTGATGATGATGATGATGATGATGATGATGATAAAGCGTGTAATGGACGTTAAAAGCACATTAATCGATCGTGGCCTTGAACGAAGCAGCAGCTTGAGGAATGACTATTGTGTGTGTGTGAATGTGAGGCATATAGTTTACGTAAAAGTGAAGTGGGGGCGTCTGATGATGGCACACCTCCTACGAATCATGCGTACGCAAGTTGGTGCACATCCACACCGCCCGGAGGAAAGGCCTCACACAAGTTGCTTCACGCTTTCATTGAGTTCAGGCATGCTGATGCCTCTGTCAGCCAGAAGAGAGGCCAGCCTCCGCTCGTCAATTCTGCTTCAGTGCCTGATCCCGTCAGCTGTCACTCTTGAGAACATCTCAGAGGCACCGCACCCATCTGAGGTGGTCCAGGGGTCCCACTGTTGTGTCGTTTTAAACAGAGTTGTCTTAATAATAACAGGTGTAGATCATACTCTTAAAATCGATTCCTGGAGGGCCGCAGCTCTGCACAGTTTTGCTCCAGCGCTAACCAAATAATCAAGGTGTTCAACACAACTAGAGACCATTAAGCAGGTGGTGGAGCTGAACTATGCAGAGCTGTGGACCTCCAGGAATTGAGTTTGAAGGCATTGGCTTAGATCACCCCTAACAATGAAAACATCCTTGCTGTTTATATTCTTTAATTGGTAAATTTTTATGACTCTCTTTCCTCTGTTGAACATTAGATATTTTGAAAAATGGTAGGAAAATACAGCCGTTAACACCCATAGTAAAAACAAAAAACGCTGTGCAAGTCAGTGGCTGCTGCTTTCTAACATTCTTTAAAGTTTCTTCTTTTGTGGTCAGTAGAAGAAAGAAACGGAAACAGCTTTGGAACAAGTGGAGTATGAGAAAATGATGACAGAATATTTCATTTTTTGGCGGTGAACTAAGCTTTTAATATTTACCCTCCTGTGTGTTTGAAATGCATTTTATTGTGGTGCAAAATAAAAAGAGGTTTAGCATAATGTCCAGAGAGAACTGGTGGATAGCGGTTATGGCAAAAAAAAAAGAATATTAAAAAGATGGTAAAACTGGAGTTTGTGTTGTAAGAAATTTCTTTGAAGTAAATGAATATTTTAAATTGTTTACAAGTAACAGTAAAGTCTTTTCTAATCTTTATTTATTTATTTATTTTTAATTTTAATTAGCCTTATTATCCAAATGTTTCTGAAAGTACACTCTCAGAAATAAATAAAGGGGGGAGGGGGGGCTTTTTCGAAAGGTACATATTTGTACCTAAAAGGTCCATATTAATACCTCAAGGGTACATATTAATACTTAAAAAGTACAAAAGGGTTCCTCTTAAAAGCTTTAGCTACTAATGTGTACCCTTGAGTTATTAATATTTGAAGAAGGTACCATGCCAGTGACAGCTCACGTACCTTTATTTCTGAGAGTGTACAATTCTTTTATGTGCAACAGCTACAGGTTTAATTGGTCAACCCCTCAAACAACCGCCAACCCCACTCACCCCCTAGGAGGAGAATAAAAACTAAGTAGCGGAATAAATAACTATACTGTCCACTTCCAAATAAATGATGATTCAGGAATAACGTTAAAGCCATTTTACATGCACATTCACATGTTGGTTTTGTCCTTTGAATGTATTTATGACGATTTATATGCTGTTGTATAATATTTTTATAAACGCAGACATAAATTGGTTTTAAAATGACAATAATAACACTTAATTTCTATGAGAATATATCACACAACAAATCGCTTATCGTGACAGGTCTAGTTATGACTTAATCAGATTAATTTAATCAAAAATCACTGTTTACATGGTTGACTCTTAATCAGAGTATTGTTTTAATTGTATTATCGGATTACTGGTGTCCGTGTAAACATACTCAGTGTTGTAGGGATTCACAATATATGAGGAAATTATCATATTAGTTCTTTTTGAATATACCCTACTAATTTCTCTAGTAAAAAAACACTAGCAAGCTCTTACTCCAAGATCTTAACTGATTTGTTTCTGGCGGTCTGTTTCATTACCTTATTTTTTTATACTACTTTAAGCAACAGATCAGATGCCTAAAAAGCACTTTGAATAATCTGCTCATAGGTTGTTTTTTTTTGTATTGTTGGTATGAGCAGAACCATTGCAAAAATTCTTGCTAGCAGCTTCCTCTTCTTGGCATCATCAACGGCGATGACTTTCCAGCTGACTGCCATTAAAAGGGTTTAATATATAAAGACAAACATGCAGCATCTAAGTTGTACGCATTGCAGTTAGCATGCATGACTGGCGATATAGATGGAATGTAGGGTAGCGGGTCAGGTCAGTCGCCTCAGTCCAATTTCAGTGTGTGTGCGCGCACATGCTTATGTGTGTGTGTGTGTGTGTGTGTGGTTTCTTATCACTCAAACACTCCCATGGTCAACATTAAGCAAGGAAGCTGGTAATCAAAGTCTAGCATAAATTGCTGCTACATACTTTAGCGCATAGCTCTTGGAGACCGGTTTCCGGATGTTTCCCAGCATTTGCTGTTTGTTTGTGGATCTTTGTGTGTGTGTGTGTGTGTGTGTTTTCCTTATGTTGCAAGAATCTGGGAAAATGGTGATGTAACTTGCTTTAGAAACCTCTTGACAGCCAGTGTTTCCAACATGCCAGAATGTTAAAGAAAATAATGCATTCTGTCAGAAAAAAAACTTGTTTCTTCAAATGGACGTAACCTCAAGTTGGGCTTATTTAGTGACACATGTGGTGCCCGATCCTGTATTTCTTTCCAAGTGCTTTCCAAGAACAAGCACTCCATTGTTTTGTGTTTTTTTTCTTTCCATTTAATCCTCAGGGCGATCCACATAGACTTTGTAACAGCCATAGTGACTGAATTAGCAACACCAAGGGATCTGAAGGACTTTGTCATTCGCTCGTTTTATCTGTTTTAATCTTTCTCAATTCGGTTGCAGACAATTTCCCTATTTTCTTTTTGCATACACCTTCTAATGCAAACACAAAGCTTTAATCCCTCCATGTCTCTCTTTTTCAGTACTGGCATAAAGGATGCTTTAGCTGTGAAGTCTGTAAGATGACTCTAAACATGAAGAACTACAAAGGCTTTGAGAAGAGACCATACTGTAATGCGTAAGTATTGCTGCTTTTCTGTGTATGGCTCTGCTTTATACATATGCCCCATGCACTTTAAAAAATTATGGGGAGGTCATTCATGTTGTCCCAACTCAAGTCGATTAAGTTAACTTAGCTGTTTTTACAAATTGAAGTAGATAAAACATAAAACAATTTATTTGTCCCTATAAAACCCAAGAACTGTTGATTCAGCTCAATTAAATAAGTAGTTTAAACAATCAGCAAAAGTATTTTTTTGAGAGTGCATCTGCTTTTTTGTACTGTAAATTAGGCTGTTTAAAAAGGTGTGATTTATTTATTTTTTTATTTTATTTTGTTTTGTTTTTTTTTTATCATAAAAGCTGCGATCATTTCGATTATTACTTTGGCGGAGAAGGCGAGTGCGAAGAATTAAAACGCTCCAGCTACTTAAAAAAAAAGACAACTGTTACAGAAGAACCTGTAACCCCCAATTTCATTGCTAGCTAGTAGATCCAGACACATTAGCGTCTCTGCTGCGTGAGTTTTCTTTACCGCGTTTATTGCGAATCAGCTGTGATAACCGCGCATTATTATGCCCATAGACAAGCCCTACATTTGGATATAACAGAATTTAAAATTCCTGTGTCTGATATTAAACCTGTTTTAAATAAGTATATTAATGAGAAATGGCAAATGGAGTGGGATGAATGTAAGAACAACAAATTGTATGAAGTGAATCCAGTTGTAAATGAATGAAATAATTACCGTTTTGGAAATAGACATAACCAGGTTGTACATACAAGATGCAGAATGATGTTAGAGAGCATTTTTATTCTGGAAATATTTTAAGTGAAATGTTTGAAAAGGAGCCTTTTGGAGCACTTTTTAGAATATTTATGTTTAATCAAGCTAAAAGATTGTATATGACCCTTTCAGTGTTGTTGCTACTTGTATATTTTTATTTTATTTTATTTTTTTTTTGTTTTTTACAATCAATGTTTGTTAAGAAACTGATTTGATTTTATGATTATATATTGTATATTTATTAGTATATGTTTTTGCCATGAATATAGCCAATGCTGCTGATATGGCATTAAAACCTAAATAAATAAACTAAGCCCATTGATTGCAACCGCAGCTTTTTATCTGAATCCGCATCACTCATTGGTGAATAACGCAAGAGCAAATCGTTAGAGCCAATCGCAGCCCTTTTCTGTTGAGTGCGGGAACACAATGACCAATCACAGGTGTTTAAGAACTCGCTCAACAACGCTCAAAAATCAAGCAGGATAATAGTTACATTTGTTTATTAACTAATAAATGGTCATGTTGTTCTGTGCATGTCCTTGTTTTGTTTGATACTTTCAAAAAGAGTGTTTTCTTTGAGTAGGTAAACTTAAAGGGAGGGTACATATATATGACTGCTTGTATTAAATATATAAAATAATATATTTATAAATGATACATTTTAATGCAAGAATTCTTGGGCTGTGAATAAAATCTAAAATTGTGTATGGAAAGCCTTGTCAATGCACTGTGCATGTCATGAAAATACAATCTAAATGTGAAGGTTTTTAAGGTTTTATATATCTATATATAATATGTTATATGGAATTCATTTAACAGAATTTAAAATCCTGTAGTTATTTTCTTAATTTGTCATGACAACTGACAACTTTATTGGACAAAATGGTATTAAATAAACTAGCATAGTGTGGCGTACTTTGTGATTATGCTTGATTTTTCTTTGGTTCTGTTAAAACCACCACATCAAACCTGCAGCTCTTTCATAAAATGATAATCACATTTAAGTGCAGTTTTGATCAGGCAATTCGCAATTGGATTTTTTTCTCCAGATCGTGCAGCCTTAATTTCAATAGTTTTCAGTGCACACTTTCCACGGTTTATTCAAAAACTGTATTCTATTTCTTTCTATCTTTATATTTAGCGAGCTGTTTTACTTAAAAGTTCGTCATAACACTGAAGTTAGTCACAGCTTCCGCCTCATGGTCGCTTTAAAGGGTCATGAAAAAGGGTTTTGAAAAATGCCACAAATGTGGGCGTGGTGAGCCACAGCGTGGAGGAGGAAGACGAGAGACACACAACACAATAACGGTCTCTCATCGAACTCTTTTTTTATTTTGCGCTTAACCACTAGAGCTACCCACAAAAGCATGCTGCAGTTTGTCATTACACGGAAACAAAATGAACAGATATTGTGCATTGTTTTGTTGGCTCACAGTGTTTAGACACACATACACACACAAATTTAATGCACAAATATCAAAGTAATATCATATATATATAAACTTCCCATTGCATCTTTAGAAATGTTATAAGGCTAATTTTGTTGTTTTTATAAATAACAGTGTTGTCAATAACTGTGTAGTACAGGGTGTGTATATAAAGGTTAACTTTTACATTAATGGACAATAGTTGTCCACTGGAAATATCCTTGTGATAAAATGTAAGGCTGCACAATATACTGTTTCATTATCGATATTGCAATGAAATAATTTGCAATAGTCGAGAAATTATGCTATTTGTAAGTTATCTAGACTTGTAAAACTATAAAACATTGTTTACTTGTACTATTTTTTTTGTGTTGATTTATGCTTGTAGATGGTTTATTATATTTAATGCAGTTGCACTTTTGGTCCCACTTTATATTAAGTGGCCTTAACTAAAATGTACTTACACAGGAACTAATAGTTTGTTACAGTGTACGTATTGTGTAAATACATGTATTTACTGTGTACTTATGCTTGATTAAATACATGTATGTAATTACATCTGTAATTAACTTTTGTAATTACATTTGTAAATACACTGTTGACCATCCCTTACACCTTAACCCACCCTTTAACCTACCCATACCACCAAACCTGTCCATAACCCAACCTCTATCCCAACTCAAAAGCACCACAAGTGTTCTCAAATACATTATAAACACAGTAAGTACATTGTATTTATTTTTTGATATAAGTACATAGTAGTTAAGGACACTTAATATAAAGTGGGACCGCACTTTTTAAATGAATCATATCAATTGGCCTGGTGAAAATGTATTCATATCACAATATACACTACCTGACAAAAGTCTTGTCGTCGATCTGGGTTGTAAGAGCAACAAATATTAACTTGACTTTTAGTTGACTACTAAAAAAGTGGCAGAAAGTAGATTTGTCCGATGAATCATCAGTTGAACATCATCCCAATCATCACAAATACTGCAGAAGACCTGTTGGAACCTGTATGGACCCAAGATTCTCACAGAAATCAGTCAAGTTCGGAAGAGGAAAAAATCATGGTTTGGAGTTACATTCAGTATGGGGGCGTACGAGAGCAACATCAACAGCCTGAGATATCGAGACATTTGTACTGCCCATTACATTACAAACCACAGGACAGGGAAAATTTTTCAGCAGGATAGGGCTCCTTCTCATCCTTCAGCCTCCACATTAAAGATGCCGAAAGCAAAGATGGTCTAGGTGCTCCAGGAATGCAGCCCAGTCACCAAACATGAACATTATTGAGCATGTCTGGGGTAAGATGAATCTTGATGAACTCTGGGAGTCCTGTGAGAACCTTTTCTTTGCCATTCCAGATGACTTTATTAATAAGTAATTTGACTCATTACAGAGATGTTTGGATGCAGTCCTCCAAGCTCATGGAAGTCACATTATTAATTTTCCACTGCAGCATGACTTTATATTCTGTACTGTACATTATTTCTGTTAAGTGAAAAGACTTTTGTCTAAGCAAAGTCAGACCTTACTGTCCTGGTTAAATAATTAAAAATCAAGGCATGATCATATTTTATTTTGGTAAAATAAGTGTAATTTAGAGGCCTTTGCCTTTCATATAAGCCACTTCTGATGCCAAATGATCAACTAGAAGTCAACTTATTATTGGTTGTTCCTAAAACTTGGTTTGGTGACAAGACTTTTGTCAGGTAGTGTATAACACAAAATACCACAGTGTTAGATTTTTCTAGTATTGCGCAGCTCTAAAATGTATATATATTTCATGTCAAACACCTTGACACCCTATTACTTAAATAACAATATTGTATACTGCTACCAATATAACATGAAACATAAAACATAAATGCAACTAGAACTATTATAGGTAGGGATAGATTATCAGGTTATTGTTAATTTTTGCTCTTATTTGCTCAGTTTGTGATATTTTAATAATGATTATTAATGTGTACGCTCTCAATAGAACTGACATTTCCTGGAGTGGCTAATCTAAATCTTTCTTATTGGCTATTATGTTCATAAGCTCAACATAAACGTGATTTATTATTTTCAGCTCTTAAAAAAAAAAACAAGTGAAAAGAAATCTGTGGTAACGTGTGAAGATAGTCACGTAATGTCACAAATTAAGACCTTTCATGCCCTTTCATATTATATTTCAGAAAGAACACTCAAAGTAGATTGTTGAATTGTGCGGTTGAATATTTTGCCTCTCCTATTGAATTTGTGGAGCGTCATTCATTCAATTTTGGTGATATTCCACCACAACCGTAGTTAAATTCTGGCCCTGAAATGATCAGAATTTATACAATGCAGGAACTCTTTATCAAGCAAAAGCAATATATATATTTTTTTATCCTTGATCTAATCAACTCGTGAATAATTAAGCAAACATATTTAGAGAAGATAAGTACACTTTCTTTCCATTTTTCTTAATTTTTTTTTTTGTTTAAGTGACACAGATGAGTCAGTGATGTATTATTGGCATAGGAAACCGCCACATCCTGTTACTCTGGTATCATGAAGTTTAAGTTTTAAGTAGTAGTTTAAGACCTAGTAGCCTTAACTTAACTCGAGAGGCTGAAACACAAAGGGCACTGAGCCTTTTTCATGGTGGGTTGTGGAATAGATGCTTGTACAGCTTAGAATAGCCCCCTCTTTATCCCCTCTTTTTTTAAATCTCTTATTAGTAGTTCATTGTTTCCTCAGCCTGTGACATATTGGTAGCCATATAGATATTAGCCAATAAATGCCATGTTTTTATGTAACTATTAT